GGGCGTGAATGCCACACTAAGGACTTCTACGGGCTCCTTCGGGTAGGGGGAAATAACATGACGGCATCTTCTCTGTTTGCTACGCACGGCGCCCCTTCACTGCCTGGCTTCAGGTAAGGAGGAGAGAAAACCCCAGGCAGGCAGGTGGGAATTGAATCGGCTGCTGCTTTGCTTGCTGGAAGGCAGGTGTTGGGAGAGCCTGGCCATCCCTGCAATAAGGAGCAAGAGGGGAGACCGGGTTGGCTCCCACTGCCTTTGCAAGGGGGTGAGCGAGGCCACATCCTGTGCCCCTCCATGGGCCACACACAGCGCTGGCTAGGGAAAGCAGGAGAGAGCTGAGCCCTGAGTCGCTAGGGTTTTCCTCTCTGTGCTGGGCACCTTTTCTCTGCCTTCTTGCTCCCAGATAGGCGCTGCCTGCCTCCACCCAAAGCCAGGCCCTCGATGCACCAGGAAACGGGTCTGAGGAAGCTGAGGAGCCGTTCTCCGGCAGGCCCCACCTCGTCGGAAGCCCCCAGGCCGTCCCCACAATGCCTCTTCCTGCCGGCACACAGCTGGCAGCGAGGGGCTGCTTCGCCTCTCACGCGTTGCGACATCTGCAAAAACCCGAGAGCTGGAGCCGTGTGTTGTGGCTGGGCTGCACTTCCCTCTGAGTCAGCCCCAAACTGTTGCACCCCTGGCCTCTCCGTGCCCTCCAAGCTCTCATGCCAGGTCTCTCACCCCCCCCCACCCCAGCAGCTCTTCTGCCTGCTGCTATCCCTGCGGTGGTGACGGGGGAAGTGACTTTGGTTTGTTTGCACCCAGGCAGAGGAGGAAACAAGCCTGAGCATCTGCAAGCAAAGAGAGCACCCTGTGCCACCCCCCCCTCTGCCAGCCTGGGACCCCCCCGGCCTGTCCCATCCCTTGTGGACAGACAACAGATGTGGCGTGGGATGTGGGCAGCCAGGCGAGGAGGACTGTTTGCAGATGCCAGACATGATCTGACCGTGCTGCAATACCTCTCGCTGCGCCTCCTGCAAGGGGCATGCGCCCCCCCCAATGTGTCCCGCAAGCCTGCCCGCCTCTGGAGCCAGCTGTCCAACCACCGGCACCGCCCCCCGCTCGGGAGCCACCTGTCCACCCACCGGCACCTGCCAACGGGCTCGGCAGCGGCAGCTCGACAGCAAGCAGCTCTGAGTCCAGGGAGGGACGAAGCCCCTGCGGGAGCCGTGCAGAATAGGGGTCCGCATTGCTACGAGGCAAAGCGAAGCCTGAGACGAGCTTGTAGGGACCCAGGGCTTGGCAAGGACCTTAGGGGGTCCGCGCTGGAGCTTGGCCCTTACAGTGGGCTCAGGGCCGTGGCTCAGTTTGATCTCTTTCTGCCTATATTGAGGGGGTGGGGGCCAGCCCCAAATGGAGCGGGACGGAGCCTGCCTTGCAAAAGCCCTGGAGCAGCTGGTGCCCCTCTCTCACCCCACCGCCTCCGTTGTCTCTTTTGCACTGCTCTGCCTTCCCACATCACCTCTAGGCTCCTCTCCCCACCCAACGAACCCCCTGCCCTGCCTCGGCACCCACCAGGTTAATTAGAGGGTCTGATTTGCATAGGCAACAGATCATGATGATCTGGAAATCCCCTTCCGTGGCCAAAGCTTCCTCCCTGAGCTGGGAGGCGTCAGCACCGCGGCTGCTGCTTCCCTCCCTCTGCCCGAGCGGGCCAAGAGCCCCAGAGCAGTAAACACCCGTGGCAGGAACCCGTGGCTGATGTCAGCAAGCACCCGCAGGGCCTCGCATGCATCACACGTTCGAGCCGAGACATCCTTGACGCTGTCCCCTGCGCGCTGCCAGCTGTCCCAGGGCTTTGGACTTCCTTCACCAGCCCAGTTGCCAAGTGATCCCCTGCCCACGATCAAACAAACACCAGCAGAGGAAGGGGCAGCCTGGATCTGCTCCAGTTCGCCTGGCGGTGCAATGGCAGCTCCATCCGGCACAACGACTCTCGGGTCTCTAATATGCATTGCATGCATCACGCAATCTACAGGTGAATTGTGCAAGAAATGGAGCCCGCCAAAGTAATCATTGCACCATCAAAATGACCGTTGAGCTATGCAAAGAGCCAGGTAGCTACCAAGTTACTGCTTGCCAATGTGTAATGACTTGAGAGTTGGTTTCATCTGAGCATGCAGCAGGGCCCTTGCTCCGCTTTGGGTCCCGAATAGCAGGGTTTGAGCGAGGCCGAAGCAAGAAACTGCCCGGGGGCATACAGTCTTGATCCAGCCAGTGCCACCACCTCCCAAGCTCCCCCTCCTCTGGGGCCGAGCCCTGCAGCCCCCAGCTGGCCTAAAGCAATCAGCCACTTGTGGTCAGGAAGGATTTTGACCCCCACATGTAGAGAAGCAGGGGTGTGGGGATGTCGTCTTCCTCCACAACAGGGGGGGTCCAGCCCCTTGCCTTGGATCTCCGGGGCAGAGTTTAACAAATTCCTCCCTGTCCCCGCAGTGGCTGGATGTTGGCAGGGCCTACATCTCCCTGCCAAACCTGGGACCAGGTAAGGGGGTCCAGGATGTCTAGAGGCATTGGGCATACGAGGACTGTTTGCAAGAACTGGCTTGATAAACACCAGTCTGGGGTGGCTTATTCAGGGCTGAGCCTGCCCCAAGCCAGGGCCTGGGCTGGACATGACCTCCGGAGGTCATCCAGTTTTGCTAGGACTCTGAATTGTCAAGGCAGTGGCAGTACATCAGCTCCAGGAGGGCACTGAAGGCAAAGCCTGGAGCAGAACGCAACTGGGTAGAAACAGCAACAGCTTCACCCATCAACCCACCACCTCTGAGTCAGACCCGTCCTAACCCTGGCCTGTGCAGTGAGGATGGAGGAGGGACATGGGGTACCCGCTGCCTCCACCGGCATCAACCACACATCCGTCCCCTTCGTGCTTTCTGGAGCTAATAATAGGAGCTGGGAGGATGCCACCTGAGTTGATGAGCTCGGGCGGGAGAGCTAAAGGGAAAAAGCCAAGCCGTCTTCTCCTGCTCTGTTAGATGGGCATCCCCATGCCAGGTGGGTACTGCAAATGCACGTAATGAAGCAGGCACTGTATTGCTCCAAGAGCAGTAAGTCCCTCCACAGCAGTGGGGTTATCCCAGACACCAAGCTTGCCCCAGCGGGTACCAGAGGCATTTGTTTCATAGTTGGTAGGGTCTGAAGGGACCTGAGCAGATCATCAAGTCCAACCCCCTGCTGTGGCAGGAAAAAGTACTGGGGTCAAACAGCCTGGCAAGGTGTTCATCTAACCTCCTTTTGAAGCCCCCCAGGGTAGGAGCCAGCACTGCTTCTCTTGGAAGTTGGTTCCAGATCCTAGCCGCCCTGACAGTGAAGTAGCGCCTCCTGATGTCTAGTCTGAGTCTACCCTCTGCCAGCTTGTGACGGTTATTTCTTGTCACTCCTGGGAGTGCTCGGGGGAACAGGGACTCCCCCAATGCCTGCTGGTCCCCCCGACTAGTTTGTAACAGGCCGCTAGATCCCCCTCAGCCTTCTCTTGTGGAGGCTGCACAGGTTCAGGTCCCGTCGCCTCTCCTCGTAGGGCCTGTCCTGCTGCCCCCTGACCATGCGGGTGGCCTCCTCTGGACCCTCTCCATGCTGGCCACATCCCTCTTGAAGTGCGGCGCCCAGAACTGGATGCAGTACTCCAGCTGCGGCCTGACCAGTGCCGTGTAGAGGGGGAGGATCACCTCCTGGGACCTGCTCGAGACGCATCTGTGGATGCACGACAAGGTGTGGTTGGCCTTCCTGACCGCGTCCCCACACTGTCGGCCCATGTTCATTTTGGCATCAATGATGACTCCAGGATCCTTTTCTGCCTCTGCGCTGACGAGAAGGGAGTTCCCCAGGCTGTAGGTCTGCTGCTGGTCCTTCCTCCCCAGGTGCAGCACCTTGCACTTGTCAGTGTTGAACCCCATCCTGTTCTCATCCGCCCACCCCTGTAACCTGTCCAGGTCCGATTGCAGCCTATTCCTCCCTTCTAGCGTGCCCACATCCCCCCACATCTTAGAGTCGTCAGCAAATTTGAGCAGGGTACTTTTTACACCCCCGTCCAAGTCTCTGATGAAGATGTTGAACAGTGCAGGCCCGAGGACCGAGCCCTGGGGGACCCCACTGCCCACAGCCCTCCAGGTCGAAAATGACCCGTCCACCACCACTCTCTGGGTGCGACCCTCCAGCCAGTTAGTGACCCACCTGACTGTGTAGGTGTCGACACCACAGTCCCCTAGTTTTTTAATGAGTCCCCTAGTTGTGCTGTGCTTTGGTCCTGCTCCCAGGCTGTGGGGACAAAGCCCTGCCTGCCATGTTCGTCCCAGGCCCCAGCTGTACTAGCAAGGCAGCTGCTTTGCCGGTAGGGCAATCTAGCAAGTCCAAGTGGGACTGTGGGATGGTCTGTGCTCCCCAGAGGCTGGCCCAGCCCATGCTGAAGCCCATCAACGGGTCCCCAAGTTTGCTCCACAAGATTAACACTATGCACATCGCCGGTACAGCATGAGAGCACCCTGACCCAACGCTCTCATCTCCAGCACCAAGCTTTCAGTGCCCACCCCAGCTGGTGCCAGCTGTGGATCAGCTCATCCCGTGGCTTGCCAGCTGCTCTCCGGTGTCGGCCAGGAATGCTAACAGGTCTCGTTGCCCTTCACCCTGTCCCGGCGTGAGGGCAGACCCGTGGTATCGGAGCCGTGGTTGTTGCCAAGCCTGGTGTGAGCTGGCTGGGGTGGGACGGAGGGGTGCTTTGCTCTCCAGGAAGGAAGGAAGTATGGGCTGCACAGCTGCAAGCATTTCCTAGAAGACAACGCGGGCTTCCCAGGGAAGTGGATGGGGCTAGTGGCAACGAGCACAATCCTGCTTGGACCAGCCTGGCAGGGCCCATCTTCTCGGCCTTTCTAGGTTTCCATGGCTGAATCACCCCCCGGGCCTGCCCCGCTCCCCACCACCCCTGTCATTACTCATCCAGCCATGACGTCCTCTGACAGCCCCCTTGTGCCGAAGCCTCAGTGCAGAAGACCTGGCTCCTTATCAAACCACTCGCTGGCTGGCTCCATCACGGGGAAGTCCCTTGCTCCAGCCTAAAGGCAAGCTCAGCCCAGCTCCCTTCCTGCACTCTGCGACCGTCCAACCCGGGTGAGTACAACCTCCTTCTCCTTGGAGCAGGCGTAGGGAAGAGAGACTTCTTTATGGGACTGTCTTTCACCAGCCCAGTGCCAGGACCCGCTCCCCCCGCCCTTCCCCATCTCCTCTTATGCAGGGTCGGATCAGCCTGTTCATAGCCTGGGCCCGGGCTATTTTTTGCAGGCTGAAACCCTCACCTGAAAGCAGGTCCCCATGGGGGGCCAGGGGAGCTTTGCCCCCAGATTTCAGGCCTGTTGGCAGGGCAGCAAATGCCAACCAGGGGTGCACCAGCCCTGCTTGGTCTATGCCATGGGAAGGGGAAGCCCCAGAGGTCCTACTGAGTCCAGGGTGCGTGTCTCCCCCTCTATTTTGGGCACAGGATAGACCAGTGATTGTCAGCCTGGGTGTTGGGGGATTGAGATCCTGTTAAGGGTGCTGCATACTAGCACTGTTAGGTGTGCAAGCACCTATACGTGACTCAGTGCATGGAGTTGCAACGGCTCTGCCCTGCCCTGGTCTTTCGGAGTCTGCAGCAGAACAGCTTGTGTTTTTTCTGTAGTCGAAGAAGTAAAAGCTGAGAGCTGGTGTTTTCTCAGGGGGCCTAAGAAGGCTGAGAACCCCTGAGATGGGCTTTTGCTGCTGCCAGCCTGGCCAGGACCTCCCCAAAGCCACCCGGCACCGGGAGAGCTGTGGGATTCATGCCCCGAGGTGAAGGCATCGTTCTGCTGAGAGCAGCACCCCCTGTAACACCCTTCCCAGGTCCAGTCCCGAGCTATTTCCTGGAGCAACTGGGGCACATTTACATTTATTGTGCAATTAACTGGTGAATCCCACAGTAAATTTAGCCCAGCCACATGTGCCAAGTAATTATCACACCATAAAAATGTCTATCTGGCCATGGAGAGAGCCAGCCAGCTATAAAGTTAGTTCTTGGAAATGTGTAATAATAACTCTAGGGTGGGTTTCTCTCCAGTTTTCATCTGAATGTGTAGCAAGCCCCTATGATGTGGGGGAGGCTGGTACCCCCAGGGCAGCACGGGAGGCTTGGCAGACCCCGCGCCAGTCTCTTGCTGCGTCGTGGTCATTCCCTTTCAAAGCCAGCTTTCGACCCCTTGTCATTGCCCTCTGCTCGCTCCCAGGCACAGAGACCCCCCACCCGCAGCCCGGCTTTCTGCACGGGGGCTTTGGTTCTCCCCCCCGGAAAGGGCCGAGGAGGCATCAAGCGCTGAGCCGGGGGGCACCGCAGCCTGGCAGCCCCCGGACTTGCCCAGCACTGGGGTGGAGCATGGGGAAAGGGGACCAGCGGGCAGGATTTCTAACCCCTGGGCCGAGCTCCATCAGCGCAGAGGGAGCCGACGAACTCTTTTGCAAGGCCGGAGGGATCTGTCCAGGAAAGGGGAAGAAGCAAGGCATCGCCTGCTTGGAGCCTGGAGTGGAAATCCCCCTCCAGGCACCAGGCCGCTGGAGAAAGGCTGGAGCAAGGCTTGGGCCTCCAGCCCCTCCCCTGCACGCACAGCCGCAGAGGCTAAGCGGCTCGGTTGTGCTATATTTAGGAAGGGAAGGGAAGAGACGAGCTGGGGGTGGAAATCAGGCCTGGCCCTTCCTGCTGGTTCGACTGCAAAAATGCACGGAGGCGCCGCACCGCCTGCGGTTTGCACGGGCGAGCAGGGGCAGGGGGCACGTCCGCGCCGTGCCACCCCAGCAGGGCAGCCCCCCGTTTGCACCTCCAAGCTATAGGACAGGGGGCCGCCAGGCCTGGGCCACCCCAGGGGTGTGGGGCTCGCGCACTGGCACCCATGCAGCAGCACCCTCCCCAGGCCCAGGCCCAGGTCCTCTGCCCCCACCTCCCTTCCCCCATGCTGGTCTCCTTCCCCACCCCCTCTGTTTATATGCCCTCTGCTGCCTGTTGATTAGCTGTCGGGGCTGTCAATCACGGGTGGGAATTTCCAGGGGAGGCGGTGCTGACTCACACTTCCTTCTGGGGGGGGGAGGAAGCGGGGAGATGTCAGGACTGGCAACATTGTAGCCCAGTGTGTGCCAGCTTGCAGCAGGGCCCAGCTGTGCAGGTAGGGCCCCGTGCTTTGCCCTGGGCAGGGGGGTGGGCTTGTGTCCCCTGCCCCGGGGTCCCTGCCAGCAGGCCGGTGCCCCCGGCTGCACATCCCCTTTGCAAGCGCAGAGCGGAGCGGGGGGCGCTGCATGGAGCTGGGGGTGGGTGCTCCCCCGTGGGGTGGGTGGGTGGCAGGGGCAGCATCCTGGAGCGGGGCACGGGGCTGTCTCCTGGCCTTGTGAGCTGCTGGGACCCAGGCCGCCCCATCCCAGCGCTGGGGGGGTTCGCTCTGCTTTCCACCCCACGCAGATGGAGCAACCGCTGGGGGCGGTGGAAACCCCGGGACCATGCCCC